CTGGTCATTTGTTATAAGCATCTACTAGGATGAGATATTGTTGGCCATTGATTAGTCCCGCGAAATCGACACGAAGTCGTGAACATGGAGTTTCTGGGGCAGGTCATGAACATAATTCTGTTTTTCGAGGGGATTTTGCAGATAATTGGCACTTTGAGCACTTGCGTACAAGTTGTTCTCACTGCTTATCCATGTTCGGCCAGTAGACATAACTACGTGTTAGCACTTTCATGCGGTTAATACTGGGATGTCCAAAATGAAACTGTTTGAGGACATCACTCTGTTATTTCGAGGGCACAATTACTCGTTTTGTGAAGAGTAAGCAACCATCAACCTCGGAAAGTGAGGATGGACGTTGGTAGAACGGTTGAAGTTGTTTATCGGAACATACTGCAGGCCATTGTGTGCGGTGAAAATGGGGTATATTTTGAAGTAACGGATCACGAGCAGTGGCGTCTCGAACCATGGCAGAAGTAACTGGGAGTGCACGGATTGTAGTATCAAACACTGCGTTAACTTCTGGTTTCACCGTTTTTGAGGCATCAAAAGCGTCCTCGGGTTGGTGAGAATCCATGAGTCTTGATTATGCATCAGCTTGGCCAGTAGCACCAGTAGACTGGTACTTGATGGAAAAGTTGTAGCCCAAAGGCATTGTAGCCGAACGTTGCATGCGGTTGGCTGTGTAAACAGGGATGCCCTTGTTAGATTCAAAAACAGTGAGGAGGGGTTTATGGTCAGATATGAGCGCAAAATTACGTCTATAGAGCAGTTTTCGGAACTTCTTGGTGACGAAGATTATTGCTAAGGGGAAAAATGTCGGTCGCTCAGGTAGCGTAGATGGTGGTCATTGGCTTGTTCGCTGAGCTGGGCAATTTGATTGCAAAGGTTTCATCACCAATGAAACCTGATGAAACGTTTGCGATCAAATTGCCCACCTCAGCGAACAAGCCAACGACCACCATTATTGCTGAGGCTTCTTTTTCAATCTGACCATAGTTGCGCTGGGTAATTGTTAGGGATTTAGCTGCGTGGGCAATTGCTTTTTCGTTTTCATCGGGGAAAACGTGAGAGATGACAGCTCAAATACCATAGTTGGAGGCGTCCAGACAACAGTAATGTCCAGGACTGGGTTGTAATATGCGAGAAGCAGATCAGAGCTGAGAATTAACTTTACTTTGTCAAAAGCGGACTGACACTGATGTGACCAGTTCCAAGGCAGAGACATTTTTAAAAGATGATTTAGTGGTTCACGGACACGATGCATGTCTTGCAAAAATGAACTGTAATGGCTTGCTAAACCGAGGAAGAAGCGCAAGGTTGCTAAATTCGTCGGTGCTGACATTTGTTGTACGGCAGAAATATTTTCTGGTTCTGGATAACGACCATGTTCCATCCAAGGTATTTGATAGAGGTGAGAAAAAATGCACATTTCTCTGCACGTAGACGAAAACGTTATTGTTGAATTCGTTCGAGTACACAATGTAAACGATGCAAAAGTTCTTCGTGACTAGAATGATGTCATACAAATAAGCAGCAACTACTGCTAACCCGTTTAGCATGGCATCCGTCGTTTGTTGAAATATTGCTGGCGCAAATTTTACCCCAAAAGGCAAACGGTTAAACTGAAACAAACCGCGATGTGTGTTAATTGTCGGAAGTTCTTTGGATTCATCAGAGACTTCTATTTGAAGGTAAGCATCGACAAGATTCAGTTTTGCGAAACATTGAGCTTGGTGAACAAATCTCCTGGTATAGGCAATGAATATTGGTGAGAGTCTAACACGGCGTTTAATCCAGTGAGATAATCAGCACATATGCGCACCTTGCCATTTGCTTTTTTGATGACAACAATGGGAGCTGCCCATGATGAATAGTTTACTGGCTGAATAACTGCGGATTGCTGGAGACGAAAAAGTTTATTCTCCACAGTTGCGAGAGCGGCCAATGGTACGGGGCTCTTCGGTCTGAAAATTGGTGTGGAATCAGGTTGGAGTTTGAGGCTTGCCTTGGTTTTGGTACAGCATCCAAGGCCACTTTGGAGGACATCGTTGAATTTTGTCTTCAGTGGGTTATTAGGGTGTTCTGCAATGTCTGAGGAGGATGAAAATTTCAGAGCACTGCACACAAATGGTAAACGTACACTGAAAAGATCAAATTTCTCAACTGAATTAAGTCCAAGAATGTACAAATTAGGAAAATCAGTGAGGTAACAAGTTCCTAAGAACTATAGATTGTTGAATAGTACATTACAGGCTAACTTGTCAGTCAGTAGTCAAATGCACTTTGGGCCCGATGATTTGTGAATGACACAGCAGGTTTTCCTACCAACTTCCAATTAAACCTTGAGAGCGGCGTAATATATGAAGCTCTTTCGAGCTGCAGACGGATTGGAACTTTGTTGGTGGAAACTCTAAGGTATTCCTTCGGGACTCAGCTTCAACTTGGAATGTTGCAAACACAGATCTGGACTGCGGACGTTTCTTGTACGACTGCTTTTTGACTGTGTTGCTGATTGGACTGTCGAAGCTCGTTTGGTTTTTGGGCACGGCAGAAACCTTTGTGGCCCCGCCGATCACACGTCTGACACTGGTGTTTCTTGAATGAACAGAAACGTGCATATTGCCACTCGCTACAGGAACAACACGATGTTGGCGGTTTTTTTTACCATGTATAACAGTGGTTCCTTTCAATGCCATGACACCACTGGAATTAGTAGGTCGTGACGTCTGCTGTACCATTGCGGTATCGTGCTTAAGATTACGCAAACGTTGGTATTCGGTAGTAAGTACTTTCACGGTAATATCCTTCTCGTGCTGAAGCTTGGAAAGCAATCGAGTGCAAACATCTGATTCCTACGGAGACTGAAGACTAGCAGCGAAAGTTAGACACTTGAACTGCACGAATCTGCAAGGCTCGGGCCGCGTTTGCTAACTTGAGACATTTATGGCGTCAGAATGGTTTATCGCTGAATCTGAAGGGACGTGCGTACCAAGCTACAGTACGGGCTGTTTTGTTGTATGGCTGTGAGACTTGACCTATTCGAGCAGCGGATCTGAGACGTCTTCAGGTGTTCGACAATCGTTGTCTCAGAACCATATCTCGTTTGGTTTGTGTCGGCGAATCCGTAACGAGGCAGTTAGAAAGCGTGTTTTCGGTTGTATAACGGTACTTCCATTGAAGAATGTGTCCAGCACCAGAAGCTGCGTTGGCTGGGACATGTGTTACGTATGCCGAACCATCTTTTGCCGAAGAGAGTGCTGTTTTCCATGCCCAACTCAGAGTGGCGTAAACAGAGAGGTGGCCAATCCTTGACTTGGCAGAGGAGTATGAAGGAGATCACGAAACGCATGGGTGCTGTCGGTGCTACTCGCATTCCAGGGTGGGGACCGCTTGATCCTCATTGTGCCTGGTTGGAGACCCTAGAAGATATGGCTGCCAACCGATGTCAATGGCGTTCTTGTTGTCAGTTTTTGTCCAGATTGCCTGAGTAAATGTCTGGAGGTGTAGGCACCTCGGAATGATTGTGTTAAGCTAGCACTAAATCCCTCCCCCATCCACCTTTATTCTTTTCTTTACAATAAGTCTTTCAAATAAGTCATGGTTGTACGGCAGTGAAGCATCGGTGTTGAACACTGATTTCATGCTGTCGATGATGATCCTCTGTAAATGACTGCAATTTTTTACACTCACGGTTGACGCAGGCAAAAGTGACAATCATCGGCATCGTGATTGGCCAATTTGAGTCAATTGTATCGAAGATTAAAAAGTAATGTTGCTGACCAAAAATTTCACGGAGTTGTTCCACTGTTTATGAAAAGTTTATATCCTTTGGATGTTTGGGAAGAATGAAATTCGTGAACGGAATGTGCTCGAGGGTTCCAAGTTTTCGGACCAAGAGACGGGATTTTCACGCATCACCTTTCTGATTACAAATCAGAACCCTCTGTTCAGTGTCATATAAGGTCCTTAATAAACGGAGTATGATGTCTGTTACTAGCAGGATGAGATGAAATTTAGCTACAAAGCTTAATTATTTAAGTAAGGGGAATATTTTGATGTAGGGGAACGAACCGATTACACTGCTATAAATACCCATTATACTCAGGCTGCTAGGAAGCACGTATCTCAGGCTATTGAGCACGATTGCCTATTGAGCAGGTTGAGCACATCTAATTGCCTGGTGACTTTGTGACAAGGATAAGCAGTCTCCGGTTTTGCATGTCGCAGTTTGTGAAGCCGCGGTGTGTGTATATTGGACACCGATGTCACGGAACTAAGATTATGAAGCCTTAGGAATTGCGCCTCATGTGGAATCAGTTGTTTTCACGAATGTTTGTTGGTCGGGCTGGGTGCAGACCTTTGGTCTGGTAGGAGTTGAAAGGCGATCCCCATCGAAGTGGAAATAAGAATAAAAAACTAGCGAGGGCGACTAATTTTGTTGAACCAAGTTATGTCAGACTTTGTGGTAAGCTCCGCAATTCTCTTACACCCTAAATACTTCACAGTAAGCTGCTTCCGTTGCTGCTCAGGTTTTTTCGTTTTTCTAAAACGTGTGAGTGAGAGAACTGTACAACTGTTAACTTTGTACACCGGCTATTGAGAAGCGAAAACATCTAACCCACTATTCACACAGTTGTCTAGACACAATTTGCGATCGCAGCTTTGATTTGTGCGGATGTCACCTAGCGTTTCACATGAGAAAAGGGAGTGCTAGGTGTGATATTCCATTATGTTTGCTCTTGACTCTCAATGCATGCAACTCGCCAATTAAATACCGGGTGACCGATAACGGAACAACAAAGTGACCGGAAGCTTCGTGACCCTAATTAGTGGTTGCGAACTCCATCCAGTTCAGCGTGGCCCATACGATTCTGTTGTGAACAGATCGATGAATTGTCTGAATGCATGATGCGCTTGAAGCTGGTCATTGCGAATTCCGGCCAGCGTGTACGGAACATGTCTGTATAAATAAACGTGTGCCATTCGCTTCTATTATCATTATGTCACTTACACGCTCTGCATATCGCGTTGCTCTTACGTTCAATTGGTTCGGACGCAAGAGTTTCCTTTGTGAACGTAAGTCTTGCTTACTGTAGTAAGTTTGAACTAGGGGACCGCGCCCTACCTGTGTTGTGTCTCTCTTCAGCTATGTCTTCAGAGTCAACGCGTCTATTGGGTACGAAACATGTCGGGTTTTTGGGTTCCGGACAAATGGCTCAGGCATTGGCAAAGGGTTTTCTATCAGCTGGTGAGTTATTGCATTGGGAGCATATTTTTTTCAAACTACAAACTGGCGTCATTGCCTATTATTGCCGCTGGCGCCTCGAGGAAAGACCTTGTTTACCAGAACTTCTTGTGGATATGGGTGACCCAGACCGAACGTTTCTCTTCACTTCTACCGTGGCTACCATGACACTCAAATGAGGCACCTAGACTAACTAATCTTAGAAGCGGAAAAAAACCTCAGGACCCAATGTCGTTGGTTCACCTCTCTGAGCTATTTCAAGCTTTACGCGTTGTACACCTGCGTTATATATTCCCGTTTAAAACTTGACGTGATGAGACTGTATATTGCTAGTTAGCTTCTGTAGTGGAGTTTATTATGAACGAAGGTTTTTTGCCAGCTACCCATATGTGAGAAAAGAACAATAATAAATCTGTCCATAGTGGGAGGGAAATATTCTACGGCAAAAAAAACCGTACTTGTCGGATACTCGGGAAGCGTCGAGGTCCATTCTGATTGCATATAACTTGAATTGCAAAGGCGATACGTATTTCGAAAATACACGGACAGGGTCATGGTATGCAGTCCCTCCTGCGTTTCAGGCTTGCTATCTTCGCTTTTATTGCCTCTGTGGGGAGCATTCATTCTTGAGAGCTATCATAGCAACCATTCTGTATGTTCCAAAATGTTCTTCGTGCGGTTCCATGGAATGTTGCTTAGAGGTAGATTACCTTAGAATAGTTTCCTTGTTTCAAAGGACCTTTCCGCGCACAAACGTTTCCTCTTTGGAAGTTCCCTTGTAAAGGAAATAGCATGTAGTATTGCACCATTTATCATGGCTAAGTTTCATCAAATGTCTCACCGCTTAAGATTGGCTTTGTAGTCCTATGTTTCGTTCATTGAATTTTTTCTAAGCAGCTTGAATATGCATTTCCTTTTGTTTGACGGACGTTTCTACCAGCTTGGTAATTTGCTAGTCTATTGATAAATTCTCTCGAGGACAGCATGCTTAAAATGATCGATATTTTGGAGTGTTAGGTGCGCCATCTATGTGGTTTTTTCCCCGGTTGTCTTCAACAAGATGGAGGCCTCGGACGGATGCAACTGTCCAAATGGGGTCTAATTCCTCCTCTCGGTAAAGTAAGTGTTTTGAGATAAAGGTCACCTTGTGAGCCGGTGCTCTTTTTTATCAAGGTGAGGGGAAATGCTACCCGTTCATAATATCGCTACAAGAATGGGCGATCATGTGGTTCAAATCCAACTATTTACCCGGTGAGCGCTTTAAAGTGACACTTTGAAATTGATTTTCGCGTCGAGCTTCGAAGGCCGACGCATGGCAACAAGTGTGATTTCACACTGAAACGCTGGCGGCTTCCAGGAGACATTGTCTGGACAACTTGTTCTGGAATATTGACTTCTAACATCCCTGTTCGTAATCGCAACAGACAATGTAATGGCAGAATTGCAAACGAACTGAGTTGGACTAACTTCTCGTCCTGCATCGTGTACGTGTACACTGACAGAGTATCGCCCTCTGATATCGTGATAGTAACTTGATGGCCTGAATGGCTAAGGTTGGACACACTGTGCAGCATAATCATATTAATAATCAATGAAAGGTTTCCGAGTTTTGGGAACTTTTCTGTGCACTTTTTGTAAGCCACTTTGTTGGTAATTTCCTCGAAAGCTGATGCTCACTCTTCCCCTGACAGCATTAGAAGGGCTCCCCAGTACCAAGTCCTCTGTCCCTGAACGTGCGGCCGTTGCAATGTTGCAAGATCGATATCTCACGCACCGTCCATTGTACAGTTTAGGGTCTAGGATACACATCCATACATCTTTCGTTGTAACTGGATGGGCGCGTGATTTTCTGACATATTACGATTATTACTTACAAGTGGCTGTTGCGTTTGAACAACCCTCCATCTTCAATCAATTGGAAAGGGTTCGGAACCGATTGAGAAGTCATCGTTTCAGAAGAGCATGGTAGTCTTTATTTGGGCAACGTTTCGCTTTTGACACAAAAGCTTCATCAGGCCAAGTGAACAGATCACCAAATCGGCCTGGTTATAAGGCAGACAGGGAACCAATCAACAAGTCAATCCTCTTCAGATTATTACATTAGGTCAATGTTGAGCGTCAATTAACGGCTCTTGTCGGTTAGTGAAGTTGTCAAAATCTTGCTTTGGTGGGTTTGGGGGGGGGGGGGAGTTCAAATTAATTCTGACCGGGTTTGGTTCATTAATCTTCCACTTCAGGGTTCTTCAGTTGATGATTCACCTCGGTTGCCACTGGTTGATTTTCCCTGGTCTTTGTGGGGTCGTGAGTGCTCCGACAGTTTGGTTTGAGGGGGTTGAGTTCAAGTGGAAGTCAGATGATAGCCCTTCTGATAATCCCTAGCGTTGGATCTGTTTTCCAGAAACTACCTCCAAGGGAGGCGGAGAAGCTACGAATACAGCCGGTCACAGTCCTTAAGTCCCAGCAGCCAGGAATTCCAGATATTACACCGGCAGAGCGAAGAGCCTTAAACTCCCTAAAAAAGGTGAACAACATAGTGATTACAAAGGCGGATAAGGGTAAGGCCACTGTTGTCATGAACAAGAGTGATTATCTACAGAAGGTCAAGCAACACCTAGCTAAAGGCCCTTACCGGGTGATCCGTAATGCGAATATTACGTCTATAATTAATAGGAGCCGAATTTGGCAAATAATTGCGGTCCGTGATAAACCACGTAGGGCAAGGTAACTGCTATCGGTTACACCCCAAAAGTGCAATCCAACCATGACTGTATGGTCCTCCAAAAATCCATAAACCAGATGTCCTAGTGAGACCAATAGGAATAGGTTCCCCACCTCACGAACTGGCCAGATTCTTGGCCGGCATTTTAAAACCCCTCACCGGGAAAGCGTCAGTTGCGGAGGGTTTTGGTACCGGTAGCGAAACCCAACAGGGAATGGATCGGGACCGCTGTTATTCCATATAAACCAGGGATATCGGAGGTCAATTTGGCCAATTTGGTGACCCGCCTACTTGGCCTGATGAAGCTTTTGTGTTAAAAGCGAAACATTGCCCAAATAAAAACTACCGATTGTTTATCAAGCTCTTATGAAACCCTCAATCTTCTTCTCGCGGCTATTCTGGTAACTGAACACCAAAGAGAAGAAAGGTGTTGGACAAGCCAGTAGTATCAAACCACATCAAGTCCCTAGCAGTAACATTTTTGAACCTTTCAGTAGATCTGAAATTTCGGATTTCTAACTATTCTGGAAACTGCTGCTTTTTTGATACCCTACTTCAGGACCGGCAGAACTGTGACCGTCGACCTGAATTGAACTGTACCAGTTGCTACGCCGTATTCCACTTGTTAAATTGTACCCAAGTGGATACCGAAATTGAGTCACTCTGTGAGATGTGCTGCAACAGGATATTACCAATAACGGTCGTGCTTATGAAAACTACTTAAATCAATGGATGGTTAGTGTTCATACCATTGTAATCCTGTACACAGGGGTAATAAAACTACTGCACAGCTGGAAATGATGATCTTGTTTCACTTGGGATTTACTGGCTTTGAAACGTATTGTTATGACAATGGTTATTACGATGATAACAACGTAAGTGTAATTATGAGCGGCATGATTGACACTTCTCTGTTGTGGTCTGCAAAGTTTTCTACGGGTTCCTTTCTTATGTCAGGTATACTGAAAGGTGAACAAGTTACGATGGCTGACGTATTTTCGACATCTTCAGCGGACGCACATGTGAGTTTTTCTCATACATCGTCTTTTCTTAAGAACCTTATTGTATTTCTGATTGTACGACCGTCCAGTTCGTGCGCAACAGACACGTATTTCGATTTTCTTGACTCTACCCGTTAAACCGAACAGGATTTCATTATCTCAACACTGTCTATTTTCTTCTTGCAGCTGTTTGAACCAATCAAGCAATTACAAGACGTAAGTTGCTAAAATATGCCGCCTGACTTCATCCTCAATCACTGGCCTTCCAACGATGTTGTACGACCACTAATGAATCGACTATCTAGTTTTGCAGTTTAGACAGTATGAATGTGACGTAAATAATCATTCAGCTGTTATACACTTTCGGTGCAAAGTTTTCAGACTGCCTGAAAGGAGCACGAGGGCTGAGATACTGCCAGGTTGCCCGAACCCAGGCAGTGTCAGTCGAGCTACCGGGTCTAGATTCGAAACATGAACCTTCTATTCATCAAGTTCGCTCCTTTACTACTCAGCCATCTCTATGAATTACCGAAGTCTGCTTTTTGTTGAGATGTTTACTTTTTACGCAAGGGCAGCATTGTAAACTCCTGATCGAAATGAAGTCTTATCATGTTCTCAGACGAGGTAGTTCACGCGTAAACATCAACATTTTGCTATCTTTGTTGCATTTTCGTTAAGTGGATGTGAAGAAGAGTGAAAAACTCGCTCACACATTGCGGTTCTGGTTCGGTGTTGTTTCAAAGGCAGAAATTGTGTCAGATGGATGGTCAATGCAGACATTCCACACTTTAAGGAGGTAGGAAGTGTATTGCTCTTTCCGCTTCTTCGTGTAAGCTTTAAATTCCGATTGAATGGTTACGTTCAGGATCATAACACTTGCTCGTTTTAACGTTCACCATTCGCCCAACCTTGATTAATATAACTTTGAAATTTGGCAGACTGACGGTGAAGAAAAATTCTCGCAAGCTCAGTGGGGTACTGGTACTGTCTCTCTTTGCTGTCAGTTGCCGTGTTAGTCCCCTTTCTGTTGAATCGACCCCTCCTGTATTCGACTTACTGGCTCTTGCCTGTCTATCACATCCCATCTAGGGATTGTCGCTTTTCGCATGATGGATTTGCACAAGGTAGTTTTTGCATGCCTAGCGATAATCCATACTTTACCGTAGCCAACTATGGATGCAGATTCAGTTTCCACTAGTAGACCAGTCTTTTTAACACCCTTGTCCTTGAAACAACAGATATGTGTATTCTTGAGGCACCCTAGTGGTCATTTCAAGGCGTAAGCGGCGAAACGCATCCGGATTGTCCAAACGCAAGCCGATTTCCTAGGGTTACTACATGCCTTACCTCAACCTCATACTAGTAAACATAGTAAAATGAAGTAAGAAGTCCAGACACCTTAAGTTCATATATTTTGTTTCCCAGAAAGTTTGGTGTCACCACTCTAGATATACCAAGAAGATAGATTCTTATTTTTCTCCAACACCGAAGGACCATTGGTTCTTCGTCTGCTTGCCGAGCTTGGCAGTTGGATTGTAAACGTTTCATCACCAATCGAGGTGACATCGTCAGTGCAGGGCTGAGTGGGTGAATTCCTCCTCTTCTGTCTGTGATTATATAGCTTCTAAACAGTATCTGGTAGTTCTGGAAACGGTCTCCGCGTAGTTTGATTGGCCTCCTGTGAATCTGACGTGGTCTCAATCTCCTGTGTCTGGTTGGTTCGTTGGGTGCATTCAATTCGGCAGTCCTATGTGTGGTTGTTCTGTTGTGATTCGACCGTTTTCTCCTTGCTTTGTGGTGTGAGTTTGGCCCCTTGATTGGTTGATTCATCGGCCTTCTGTTTTTAGTCCTTTGATCCAATTAGTCCGTTGGTTGTCGTTAGGTTTCTTAGCTCCGAGTCCCGTGACTGTGTGATTATTGAGTGACACTGGGTCATGTCTTCTACTGGCAAGCTTTTGTTCATGTATTCTCGTAGCAAGTTTTCTTCCCGTTTGGCCAACCTAATGTTTGTCGCGGTCGTTGCATTCAAGTTTGTAGACCACGTCGGTCTTCTTCAAAGTATCCAAACTTCCCTTTGGGTTCGAGAGGGTTCTTCTCAACGTGTTTGTGGGCTTAAAGGCGACTGCAATTCCATGTTACCGTAGGTGTCGTGCAGTCATCTCCGCCACGTTTCTGATATACGGCAGCGTAATCTTCCTCTGTTCTCGTTGTGTTGACGGATCAGCTTAGTGTTGGTCTCGTAAACACCTCCATATGAAATTCCTCGGGTAACCGTTATTTCGGGATGTCTCGAAGAGTATTCTTTCTTCTTTTTTCGCCTCTGTTGTGTTGCAGTGTGTCTCCTATCCAATTGAATAGGGTTCGAACGCAGCTCCGCTTGTGACAGTTCGGATGGTTGCTGTGGTAATTCAGAACGTGGTCTGTACGCGTTTCTTTCCTGTATACTTCAGTTTGCAGTTAGCCGTTTGTTGTCTTTGTGATGAGACATTCCGAAATAACGGCTACCCGCGGAATTTTACATGGGGATGCTTACGAGACCATCACCAAGCTGATTCGTCAACACAACCAGAACAGAGGAAGATTACGCTGCCGTATATCAGAAACGTGGCGGAGATGACTGCACGACATCCACGGCAACATGGAATTACAGCCACCTCCAAACCTGCAAACACGTTGAGAAGAACTATCTCGAAACCAAAGGGAAGATTGGATGCATTGAAGAAGACTAACGTGGTCTACAAACGCAAGTGCAACGACTGCGCGAACACTATGTTGGCCAAACTGGAAGAAAACTTGCTACCAGGATACACGAGCACAAGCTTGCCAGCAGAAGACATGACCCAATGTCACTCGTCTCAATCCACGAAGACAGAGAAGGACACACATCCAATTGGGACAATGTTCAAATACTCGCTCACGCAAGAAGATAACGGGAGCGAGAATTTGCCAAGGCGTGGTACTCCACACAAAAATCGAGCAATAAACACATCGACATTGACCCAGTCTATCAACCGTTACGAGCAAAATAATCACACAGTCACGGGACTCGGAGCTAAGAAACCTAACGACAACCAACGGACTAATTGGATCAAAGGACTAAAAACAGAAGGCCGATGAATCAACCAATCAAGGGGCCAAACTCACACCACAAAGCAAGGAGAAAACGGTCGAATCACAACAGAACAACCACACATAGGACTGCCGAATTGAATGCACCCAACGAACCAACCAGACACAGGAGATTGAGACCACGTCAGATTCACAGGAGGCCAATCAAACTACGCGGAGACCGTTTCCAGAACTACCAGATACTGTTTAGAAGCTATATAATCACAGACAGAAGAGGAGGAATTCACCCACTCAGCCCTGCACTGACGATGTCACCTCGATTGGTGATGAAACGTTTACAATCCAACTGCCAAGCTCGGTTAACAGACCAACAACCATGTAGCGCTCCTGAGCTGGCTGCATTCCACAACATTGTTAATTGACGGAGCATATTTATGCGCCCCACCACCTTCCACACTTAAATGAGTTAGCGCTTGCGTTCCAGAAAAATACTGTGGTCTCCCCATCTCGTTAGTTTAAACCCTGATCTCTTGTTTGTCTAATGAAGGCTACAATATCATACCGTTCATTATACATGGTTCATTGAAAAAACTTCACGGGCAGTTTTGGAGAATTTCCTCTAGAGTAATAGTTTTGTGTTCAACCATCATGTGTTAGAACTCAATCGGATGAACGTTCGTAGTATCGAAAGCTTGTTGAATGCCTGATCGAACTGAATAGGTTAGTAGTTATAGTTCATGAAAGCTTTGTCTAAAGACTCAGATAAGGTGCATGCACGTGTCTGGCTTTTAAAGCGGTCTCACGGCGTAGTCAACCTCACTGCTTTGAGATAACTGCGCGCAGTCAGATAACCGAGGGTGTTTTCTGCTGGATTTCTGGGTATGATATTGATTAGACTTGAGGAAACAGTAAAGCTTCCCGATTTAGAGATACATCACCAACACTGGTTATTATGACGATAATTGTAATGACGATGTGTATTTGGAAACTTTACAAAATATGTAGTTCATTCATATTTCTCTGGAGATACCGCCCGAAGGTACCAGCTGGGTGATTACACCATTGAAGTAAGGCTCAAGAAACCAGCCGAAAGTGATTTTCTCTAACTGGTTTTCCGTCCAGAGCATGGTCTTACGAGATGAGGATAAAGCTTTCCTTTCACGCATAACTTGAAGGCTTTTCAGTTGGCGATTGAAAAATCTCCCTTGGTATTGATCCTAATAACTTGTGTTTTTTTTCGATATGGTTTCCTTGGCGTCTAAAGTGCTACTCGATTGACTGTCCTCCGTTGAGCGTGCACAGCCGTACCACAGTCCATCCACCAACCAGCGTCCAGCTTACCAAGGCCTGTTGTTTAGCGTCGTTCATCGACTGCACATTTGTGACTATATTTGAAACAAGTAGAATCCAAACGATTCACTGATATTCCTTTAGTCTCTGATACAAAGTGGAGTCAAAAGTGAGGGTGAAGCTGCAAGTCGTGGGGTTAAGCTATTCGCTTCAGATACTATTATACTGAGATCATCTAAGGTTAAGTTCCTGTCAGCTTCTCAAACCAAGAGCTCTTCCAAGAGAGGTCAACTGGTTTCATACGCAGTACGCACTGCTAGACTTGCATGGTTGACGCAAGCAGTTCGCCTTTGTTCGGCTAGTATTACCCGTCTCCCAGTCTGCCTTGCTCTTCTGTCTGAGTGCAACAAAGATTAGTTTTCCTCTCCGGTGCGCAAGTGTGTTTTCTAAAGGCAGCCAACTGGTCGGTTTCGTTTTGTTCGCTACTGACTTACTTTCTTGTCTTCAGGTCCTGCCTCCTGTGTCCTGGATCGTCTAGCTCCGGATTGATTACAGGTACCCCTTTGATCGCTAGCTTTGCAAATAGCATTTGGTCCTCGGATTCCTGGTCAACGTATTCAATTTCATTTCTACTCCACACAAAGTGAAAGTCCATCTCAATAAAACTGTTTTCAGGAGAACAATGGCTTAAATAATTTGGCGGGACTCATTCCTTTCGTTTGAATCACGCACTTTAAATCATAAATGAGAAACGTATTCAATTTCATTTCTACTCCACACTAAGTGAAAGTTCATCTCAATAAAACTGTTTTCGTGAGAACAATGGCTTAAATCATTTGGTGGGACTCATTCCTTTCGTTTGAATCATGCACTTTAGATCATAGATGAGGAAAGCAGTCCCCGAACTGGGTTTTAAACGCGTGCCGTTCGGTTTATGAAGTAGTGATGGTGCTTTGCAGACAGACTTAGTGGTAGTGATAGTATCAGATGATGTCGTAAACAAAAGTCAATGGTGGAAGTTACTCCTCAAGTACGTGCCTGAACGACATCTGATGGGACTTCGGGGCCGTATTTTTCACACTGTTTCCTGCTGGCGTAACAACGAACGACGTTGACCTCTCTGAGCAGGGTACCTTAGAGTGGCAATAACTCCGCTTCCTCAGAACCATATTTTGGATGCGTAAGCGTCAGCTAAGTCACGACAGAATGATCGACGGACCGATGTTCAGTTGTACGTGAACCAAAGCGTAAACCAAATGGCGATTGGCATGAAACTTGTAGAATGGTATGACTGTAGAATGGTGTGACTGCGACCGCGAAGAACCTGGTGTGATCTTCACTCGATAGGCTACCGAATGTAACCGTGGTATCACTGTGAATTCCAAATAACTGAATGTTTGAAACAAAGTATTTACTGTAGACTGTCTGTACTTCTAGAACTTAGTCCCTTCTCTTATCTGGTCTATTGTCCTTTCAGTTATTGGTTACAGATCTCAGCACATAACCAGTTCCACCGGTGATATCACTGATGTGACAGCAAGGACTACAGGCATAGGGTAGTCGACCACCCTACATTTTCAATGACGGTTAGTCAGCGGATATTTGAGGGCAGGTTCAATGAACTATACCGAATGGGACTAATTTTTCATAAAAGTTCTGAGGGCGACTCCAATAGGCGGTGAAATTCTCCAGCTCCTAACGCACGGGTGAATTCAGTCGTTCGTCAGAATTTCATTTCAGTGTTTTTTTCATCACAGACAGAGCGTAGATCAAGCCAACTGAGACTTTATGGGAGTGCACTTTGTATGTATTCTTTGACTACCTACTCAATCTTTGAGTTACTGATGTTGAACGTTGTTCTATTTTCAATCTTAGGCATATGGAGTCGAGTACGTACAAATGAACGATGTGATGGCAAAGAAAAGCGATATCATCTTTATCTGCGTAAAACCGCATATCGTTCGTCCAACTCTGAAGGGAATTTCTCACGTTTTTGATGGTAAATTAGTCATATCCGTGGCAGCGGGTGTCACTCTGGAACAGTTGAGTCAGGTGAGTTTGTTAACATATTCGATACTTCTGAAGTCAGCGTAGGTTGTTTACGAACAGTTCGCATACGTCAAAGCAGATAGGCATGTTCCCAAATTTCTTCACCCACAATTTTGGACCGCTCATACGAAACTTGTGCAATAGTCCACTTTGTAAGCAACTTTAGGCTTTCCCGCCGATAATGAATGACTTTGTTGCAGGGATAGATGAATGTGTTGAGTGAGTAACTGTTACTTCCCCATGTCTACCTGCAAGTAGCTTGAAACAAAGATCTGGCGGTACTCCAAATTAGTGGCTACTTATTTTGCGCTGGTTCATCCATCTCCTGCTTGAAGATGGCCAACTAAGTTGGTCTGTTAATCTTTGATGGAGGCAGCACATAACTTCAACGATGAACCATCCGACTTGATTATGTGTAGCCAAGCTTGTAGTGGAGCTCGGTGATAACAGCAATTCGTATGCTGTTTACGTGATTGTATGGTTGATGAAGTACCTATCCAGTTGAGGTTAGAGGGGCTGGTTGTATCGATTCTCCCTCGATCATTGGGTGGACAGTCTTGGTCGAATCTAAGGTTCAATTCAGAGCATTATTGATCAATTTTCTTTAACCAGCAAGGCATTTTGGTTACCAGACTTATCTTCGTTCTTCCGTTGACATGAACTACTCATAAGGTTTCTGAGTAGCGTGTTATATAAAAATACACTGCATAACACCATATATGTCGCCAACCGAATGAGGCGGCCTTTGTGCAGTACGTTCCTGATACTTTTCGTTATGAGAGGGAACAATCTGGTACACCAGAATGTGTTTGTATAAAAACCATAAGGTGTTGGTCTCCGTGCTCTTCGGTCGGTACGAAAATATCCAGTTTACTTAAGAATGGCGTAACCTAGCGTATAGGGGATTTAAATGGAGAAAACTCAGAGCACCGTATTCCTCAGCGTGTGAAAATTCATGCTTTTTTAAACAGATGAATAGGAATTTGTAAACTGTTGATATCTATCCTTCAGGTTGTTTCGCAATCGACTCGTCTGATTCGAATTATGCCAAATACCCCTTGTTTGGTTGGAGCAGGCACGGCGTTCTTTGCCGTTGGACCCAGCGCGTCCGCTGAGGATGTTCTGCTTACGAAAATGTTGTGCTCTAGTATTTTCAACGTGTTTGAAGAGGTCCCGGAAACCATGTTTGATGCTGCGACTGGAATTTCTGGATGTGGACCAGCCTATGTAAGTTCTGCGACCCCAAAAACTATTTTCCTTCATACCCGCAAATGTGAGCTAAGTCATGCATTTTCATCAAGTGAATAGGTAAATCTTTCCTCGATAAATACACTAATTTGCGAATCAACTTGGTTTTCGCGAGAGACTCAATTGAATCTCTCGTTTACGATATTCTACAACTGAATGTGCTGCACACAGGCCGCCTCATGATTCAGCTGGCACGATATTCGAGATATTGCAGTATATTTTAGTAAAGGAAACTACTCACAAGGTTACTGAAAACTCTTCGACAGCCCACGACCGGTTTCGCCCTTCTTGGGGCTAATCAGGTAGGCCCGTCCCCGAGTTTCCATCAACCCAATGTTCTACTTGAACCCAAATTGGACTGTATTCGAGAAATACACTAATTTACAAATCAATATGGTTTTCACGGGGGACTCAACTGAATCTCTCGCCCCAAGAAGGGCGAAACTGGTCGTGGGCTGTTGAAGAGTTTTCAGCAAAATTGTGAGTAGTTTCCTTTAGGTAAAAACGTTTATTTCACACATTAGAGCGGATAGTCATGATTTGGGGAACCTTTAATGTAAAATTCCTCACTTCTGTGGTTTGTAAGAGATTTGAGTATATCTAGGTTTAACCTGCATCACTTGCTTGAACCTCTTATGAACAAAACTCAAGTTCGTTTCTCAAATGTGTATTCCATCCTCCAAGTCATCTCGATACATTACGCTTATTTTGACAATGCGTTAAAATTTCGAACAGAGGGATTTTAACAACTCAGTTGTGTACTCCTGAGAATTTGAGGATTCCAAAATGTTCCCGCGACTGGGAAGTATCTTCGTGGGATTGTAATCAACAAACACCCTAGCGCAAGATTTGTGTACCTCGGCAGTGAAACGTCATTGATACCCAGGTATTTTTCAGCGGTCCCTGTGAGAGCAGGATAGAATTTTCGTTTCATTCGAAGTGGATGCTTCAAGTTTCCAGTATTCCTGTTAGCGAAACAAGGTGACTTTCCATAGTCGTCTTCATTTCTGATCGTCTAGGTTCTCCCCTACATCATTAAGCATACTAGTTTATCACGAAGACTAATTACCATAGAATTTTTAAAATAGTGATAGCTGTGCGTATGGAAAGCTGAACTTTCGACTGACAAGTCTATCTGGTCAAAAACTTCCCACGTACATGGCTGGGTTATTGGCTGTGCACGAAATCTTTGAGGTGGCAGCAAATTAACAAATCTGGAGTAATGACGCAGCGCAGTTCCATTGTAGCGTCGTCTCCAAGCGAATAAATCGGGCAGTTAGGAGGCCATGAATTGCCCGCCTTTGAATTTTCCAGGGTTTTATTTCCGCAGGGTTACAATGATCCTTGTTGAGGATCATGGTTAACATTTATCCACCGAACTCCCACTTGAATCACTTCATCACTCACACTCGTAGCGTCTCTTTGTAAAAGTCAGTCTAATATTCGTCAGTGGATCAGCCGTCAAAAGTTATTGCATGTCCTGTAGCTCACGGTTGGAAAGAGTTGGGTCCGTGGGAACCAGCTCGAAGACAGGTGAACATTTGTGCTAAAAGTTCCAGTTCCACGTTTCATTTGAACCTGCTGAGCGTGCGGCACTAATGTGAAAGGCTTCTGTTCTGCAACGAAAGCGATAACTGGTGTTGGCCTCGAGGTACAGTAGACACTGTTCAGAATCATCACCGCCCTGAAGCTATCACAATAACCGCGAGATGCAGTAGTAGTGACCGGTGCACGGACAGAATGGCATTGCTTGAAAGGTAGTGTAGGCCGATTTGACAGAACGTCCTTGGTTGTTAACTGGCAGCATGCCCTGGCAAACCAACCATCGGGATTATCTTCATGCAACATACATGCCTGACTGACGGTACACTAAGCTTCAGGCTCGTTGATTCGGATCACCCTTCAGGCCGCCGCAGAGATGTACCATAACGAATGAACAATAGTGAAGGGCCTCTTGGATTCTTGATGTTGCCTGGAGGTATAGTATCAACGTAACACGCAAGTGTTTAACACCCCTTAAAGACATTTAAAAACGTGACCATCAGTAACCATGGTTTAACTCTGAATTACTGGTGTTCTGTAGCACCGAACGGAACGGAAACAGGATTATGTTATACTGAGATCTGCCTCGTGAGGATTGACTCGGACTTTTCTAGAAACTAACTCATTCTCCTCCATGAGACGGTCGCCCTACGAGCAATTTCAGTGAACTCATTCAACCACATCCATTGCTTAGGGACGACGCTACTTAACTTTTTCGAATAACAAACTTACCGTATTCAACTGATCAAAACCGCGATAAGAATGATTGCTCAATCATTCTCATGTGTATGGATGCATATCTTCTGTAGAGAAACCGTTGTACGGGCATTTCAATTAACAATACTCAGCGAATGTGCTATTAACGGACGCACTACTCTGCGTCACAGAGTTTACAGACTTTGTGACTCGCTGCGTACGGTAAGCACTAGAGATACACATTAGGAAAGCACTGTTTTCGGTGACGGCGTCAAGATTCCCCCATTATTAACGGCGAAAGTAGCCATTAACATCGTTCTAATGTCTTGGAGGATTTGATGCACTTATATTGATTGGTATCGACAATCTGCACTTTTTATTTCGCTGCTTCCGGTGCGTTACTGCAATTCCTCTCGTACTTATTGGAGACGTCCTCTGATCTGTCTGTCACCGTTTAAGCCACTGCATCAAGCCAACTACTGAAATTTAACTGCACTGTCTCATAAGCCTACGGTGGCCTGCTGGTTAATCTGTTGGTTGATTCGCTATCATCAACAATTCGTCTGCTTTGATTTCGAGTTTGTCGAGCGCGGACTTTCTGGTAATTCACATTCTCGTTTGAACAGTCGTCCCCTTGTTCTGGTGAGCCTACACCAAAGGTGGGGCGCCCTGGATTCGAGTTTCTAATAATAGCCGTAAAATTAATTCCTAACTGCCATAAGCAGATGGAAATTTGCGTTGACGTATATGAAATAAAGAGTAAGTTTATTCGGGGTAAGTGGCGCCTGACCCCCACCTTCGTATACTAAGACTACTGACGGGAAAAATTCTCTCAAAATGTGGTCTTGCCCATGTAGGCAACATCCCGGGGCTACATATGTGTGTATGCGTTACTACGTATTTGGTTTTAATCAAAATGGGGAATTTCACTGGTGTTTGGTTATCATTGTAAACATGAGCCGCGAAACTGAGTTGCTACATGCTGCTGTATATAGCTAATATTAAGGCGCCTTATTGTAGAGGCTGTACTAACCCCTCAGCAGAGATATATCCGAGAAGAGACTCACCACATGAATTTTCCATAGCAAACCATGTCACCAATAAATAACTCTTCATGATAGCCACTCGTCGAGTTGATGTCACACCCTTCCACACTGACTACTCCGTATTGACCGCCTTGCTTCTCACCAACAAATTCATCTCCTGACCCCAGCTCTGAGATATCGACTGTTATGGTCGATTCGTTCCAAAGTCACTAGCTACACTTTCTGCCCTAGAACTATATGAATCCCTTATAAAGATGACTTCTCATATGTAGGCAAAAATTTCGGGTATCTGCCTCCATGGAGCACACGCTTTCGATAGCAGTAGCTGCTGAGAGGCCCTGCTAAACTTTCGAGTGCCAAACGACCATCCATTTTGTTCGTACAGTGCAGAAAACCAACTAGGGCTTTTCTACTTTCTTTCAGATGTACCTCATTGTAGAAGCTTTAACCGACGGTGGTGTAAGAATTGGACTACCCCGACAGCTTGCTCACAAATTGGCAGTCAGCACAATGCTCGGATCTGCCATCATGATGGAAAAGACAGGAGAGAATCCGGCAAAACTGAGGGTAAGCCACCTGTTCAGTATGTCAGCTGAAAATATGTTGAAATGTTCCTCACTACAAATGAGTGCACTAGTAAGAGGGTTACTTTTAGCAATCCCGGCCGACCGTAGATCAAAACAACCGTCTTTTGCATACAACCTACTTAAGGAGACGTTTGAACCACTCATATCCACGTAAATAAAAAGGCCACTCATTTATTTCACAAAATCCAGACGAAAGCCTTGGAATTAAATTTCGGGTTTTGCAGTTGTGACTCCCGATGGACTGTACGTAACTGGGGTACATAATTTATGAACGATAGTGTGTTAGTCCGATTGGTTTTCAGTCGGTCCAGTCTTTTCAGACGTGATAATGGAAAGGAATAGGTGTGGAAGTGAAATGAAAGCCATCGGTGTTGTATCACTTGTTTTCGGGTTTCACCAGGGAACTATGGCGTCTGCTGGTCGCTACTACTTGGTTGTCATGCGATAACTTATTCATCCATCGGCTTTGTGCAAGCGCTCTTTATAGTCTGCAAGTACCCAGCATCAGATCAATGTGAGGAGAATCAGCAGCCTGGACAGTTTTAAGCAACATACAGCTGTTAATTTTGCTGGCTAACTCCTACGTTATGGGGGAGTCAGAGTCAAGATGTTATCGGAACTATGTTCTGGAGGCCAAAAGGATTTAAGATTTACATTGTAGTTCGAAAATAAATTAGTCAACCAATTTGAAACATGGTTCCAGTTAGTCCGTCTCGAATACGTACTGAAGGAATGGTGAGGTACGCTACGTCGATTCCTGTATATTTTCGTTACTATAAGTTATCACCATCAGCTGTAACAATCCCGTACCTACCGTACAGTGGTCTAGCTGCCGCAGTTTCGTTCACCGATGACTCGGGGAGGTGGGTTAGAGAGCTGCGCATTGGAAGCGGTAGCCGTTAATTTGGTGCGTAAATACAGCACTGTCAGTGGACTGCCAAGTGGGGAGCATTGAGAAGGGAGCTATGCATTGAAGGTTTGGATAAACGGGTGCCATTGAGGGCGCGACTGAGCAATGTTTGACAAGGCCAGTTGTCCGGACGGATTGTACGAAACAGCAAAGCTAAAATCTAGTTCTTATCCAGTACAGTACAAGCCTATCTCCGTCTATCTGTAGAAACTGATAGTCACCCATCCTTAATTCCTAAGCCTCAAACTGATGCTTAATTCCACACTAACGGGTTTTCGCTCTTTTCAGGGAGATGTGTGCTCTCCCGGTGGAGCCACCATAGCTGCCATCCATACACTTGAAGAGGGTGGACTACGTGCAACGATAATGAATGCTGTTAAGGCAGCCGCTGTGCGTTCCGGAGAGCTTAGTAAGTAACCGACCCCTTGGCACGGTACGCAAGTTCCACATAATCAATGCCCAAACCTTGTTTGTCTCATTTCATTTTTAATAAAATCAGATTTACCATAAACTGCTAGTATTTCGTTGGCAACTACAGCAGCAGAAATGGTATTTATCAATGTGTATAACGAAAAGAGGCCGATACACTTTAGGAAGATGGAGACAGGAGCAGTGAAGTATGTGAGTGTATTAGTTGATCATTGGTTTGTTCGCTGAGCTGGACAATTTGATTGCACACATTTCATCACCAATCGAGGTGACATCATCAGTGCGTTTTTAGGGAGCGTGGCGATGGGTCGGTGGTTGTGCGTTGAGTGGTGTTATGTTAACATACATGCTGCTAGCCGCAGATATCAAAAACGAGAGAGAAGGCTGAATTACCTAATATAAAAGTACGATATTTGTCACGTAGGGAAACCTGAGAGGGCCAAGTATGAACGGAAAGAGAGCCGGAAATATTCCTATGGTTACGGTACAAACTTCAAACACTGCAGTGGACAGATATGATTTGAATCCACAAACCTGAACGTTCAAATTCCTCGGACCATTGTAGGTACGCTCAGTAGTGTCTACGGAAACATCGGTTCCTAGAGTTACCTCAGGGATTGTCTTGGGTGGTGCTTTTGATAGGTTCCAAGTTTAAAACTAAGGAGCTCGTGTTTCAGGATCAACGGTGCAATGATATTTAACGTTCCTAACTTGACTGTCAAATTAAGGAAGCCTCTCAGTAACCTAGTCTGCACAAGAACGAGATGGTTGTAAATATCTGACTGTCAGAATACTGGTACCCAATTATGTTGGGTGAGCTTCAGTACTACCAGGTCGCCCAAACCTTCACCGACCAATCGGCATGAAACTCTGCGAGTGTCGCAAACTAAACGTAGGTGCATAGACCGTCATACTGTATTAAGGTATGTTCGTGACATAATCGAACTGTTACATATATCCAAAGGAAGCTGATCCGGTTTACTGGAAAAACCCGAAGATGTTGAACAGGACTTAGTTTACCGTTCCCTGTCTAATTTGTTTTACAATCAACTCGGTGTTGGAGAAAGTCAGACAGGATTTGTTTCACATGGTCATCCTCAAAAGTGCAGTTAAGGCTAGAGGTGCCCTTCTAACTACCTAATAAATAATAAGACTTTTAGGGGTTGCATTGGATCCTATGTTCCGAATGAGAGGACAGTACATCGCGAAAATACGACGAAGTGAGAACCTTTACATGAGCCCAAACGAGTGGAACCTAGGATGGCTCCGGACGTCCGAGAGTAGTGAGAAATTAAACAAACCGCTCTTAGTGATGGATATGCTTTTTTATTGCTGTTGTATATGGCGGGATGAAGCTTTGTACATTGGGGGGGGGGGGCAGCATAGAAGCGACACATTCCTCGGTGAAAAATTGCACCAAGACAACATTGCTTTAAGGAACAGAAATGATAGAAGTGATAAAATGATCTAGAAATTAAAGGAAAAGGTTGGAAGCCCGGAAAGGGACCAGCTCCAAAAGGAAGGATATGGTGCATTTCGGAGATGAGTGGTTGAGGAGTTAGATAATTCAGAACACCCCATGGTAGGAAATAAGCATAAAAGAGTTGGAAAGGTAGTATGTAGCTGCAAAGGGGTGGGGAAGAAAATATGTGAAAGACCTCGTGGTTAAAGCTATTTGGATTGCGCACGAAAATACACCATGTTGAGTGGAGTCGCGTTAAGGTAAAAGGCAGGTCTTATAGGAGTGGGTGCAACTGATTATGGAACTGTACAAAGAATTTATAAAAATAAACTGGTTATTGTTGCATCCCCTGACCGATCTCTGTGACCGAAACGCGGGATCAAAAGCCAAGTGGAGGCGAATCAAATTGGTGAATTCACCGGAGCGGTTGCCTTTTCGGTGGACCCAGATGTGAGCAGTGGAGTATCAACAGAGCGACGATTTCGCAGAAACCGACGCTTGCTTTGCTCTGGCTCACGTGGAACCGGTCGGTTAGCTGCGTACTGCATGAGAGCCGCAGAGGCAATAAACTGACTATTTGGACGGTCATGCTGAGGTTCAAAAGTGGCATGTCTACGAACTGAACGCTCGTGGCCAGGAAACAACGCGTTGTAATCTCTGATAAGTATGCGTACCAACTTCCGTTCGGTTTGCATTCCAGCTATGCAACTCTGCGGATCCGTGTAGGACGAACTCATTAGACTTGGCGCCAACACTGTTGAAAGATTCTCGGCAGACATCATATTTTTCTCATGATTGACGGCAACCCTATGATGAAGAGATAGTAACCGATCACAAATATGATCAATACAATGCTGTCAAAATAAGAAACATTCAAGTATTTCACTGACCGCACACCAATTCGCTTCACAAAAAAGAAATGGGACAAGTCTGCTGACGGGACCAAAGCCATGAGGTTTTACTTGATAACATGAATCAACATTGTAACCTAAGGCTAGGTGGCACTGATCTCCGCGAACACAACTCAACTATTCACGAGAAACCACAGTGCTCTAAAGTTATAAGTTGAAAAAAACACTTAAGTGTAGAAAATTTTACACAGGGTATTCAAACAAAGAAAACACATCGACACCACTCCCGAAAAGTACGAAACTGGATGATTAGACCGCCTCAAGAAAGGATGTCAGGGCAGAACGGATGCTGCTTTGTTATTGGCGTAAAAGACGTGCTCACTAGATAGACTGTCAGTTGCTAAAACAGTCTTATTCCGCCCCAGGTGATGAGTGGTTCCAATAGCGGCGATGTAAGACGATTGTCGATGTAAGTAGTAGATCCCCTACGTATATGCTACCCATGGTGATGAAAAGTCGGATAGAGAAGTGCTGTCTACCTGGAATATCTCAATCAACTGATGACTTGTCAAATCCGGAACTGTATGCTGAACGTCCCTATCTATATATGCAAGCTGTTTCGATCATTAATTTCTTTCAACAAAACAATTATGTACACAACATGTGTAACCGAACAACAACAACTCCGGACACAAACTAGGTACCAATTAAGTTGACTGGAGAAGCAATCCGAGCAAAGCCTACAACGGTTGGAAAAATCTGGTAATGGTCGTTGGCATCATTCTATATCGAAAAATTTGCAGACAAGCGCTAAAGTTCGTCCATATTTTTGGCAACTGAGGTTCATTGATTTCACGCTCGTATCACTCGTTCATCCAGTCCGCCTCTCCTGACGCAATTACTAGGGTTAGTCTACATCAGAGAAGCGAATAGAATATCCAGTCCAATTCCTCATCAACTTAATTTACCAGTGATCGGAAGAACCACGTACGTACAGGAATGTTCAAAGGATAGCAACGTGGATACGAATTTAGGTTTGGCTATAACCAAGCGCAATTTCATTGGAAATTTCTTTATGACAGTAACCGTTACCGTCAGATGCCTGGATAACTTTTAGTTAGGTATATTCATCTGTCACAAGGAAGAACAATTTATCCAGAGTTGTAGCTATTAAGAGCGCACACACTTCACGAATACGACAGTACAGCATCGCAGGATGTGGATGATGAAAACCACCGATTAATCTGACTACTTAAAAGTAGGTAGTACATTTTGATCTAGAAATACTGATGAAGCTGAGACGAGCGTGTTGTCATGACTTAACTCGGCAGAAAGCACAGTTGCATGAGGATTTCCCTGCAGGTGTGATACGATTGTTTTTTTCAGGATAATCATCATCATCCTCGGCTGTAAGAACCGCGTACTTGTACAGTGGTTGTAGTTGCCACAGTTTCGTTCATCGATAATTTAGAAAGGAGGGGTAGGTAGCTGCGCATTGGAGGCGGGACCTGATGACTTGGTGCGTAAATATAGCATTGTCAGTGAACTGTTAAGTGGGGAGGAAGCTATGCATTGGACGCAATTGCTTGGATGTACGAGTGCCATTGAGGGCGCGACTAGACAATGTCTCTAACCGTTGATATGGCTCGTCTCGGAGAGGGAGACAGGATAAACGTACGGATAACAGCTTCTTCGTTCGTTAGGAAGAAATTGGTGCTTGAACTGCTGATCTCCACACGTTAGAGTTCTTCTAAGTCATCACTTAACATAACAATAGCATCGGCGCATTCCAAGTCTGCGTTCCGGGTTTGAAAGCTAAATTGGGCGCCAGGTCGTGAAACCACTCGATTGTGAAGTTAAAGCGCAACGACAAAAGTGGACATCAGAATGGACGCAGAAATTCCTTCAACCATCATTATTGACGTACCCCAGTAGGTCAGCGGAATGGATTCACTTTTCCAGATTGAACAAAGCACCGTGTGGAGTGCTAAGAGACGTTCTGAGATGCAGGATTTTGGACCCCAGTTGGGGATCCGTCTTTTCTGCTCACCGGTTGTTCGAAGATTTTTAGCTTAGCGATTTTCAGCTTACTTGGTTTCTCGCAGCTGACACCACACATTGAGGCTGGAATGGTTTCAAGTTTTGGGTAAGAATTTACATTCATCCTCTCAGCAGAGTGGCAAATATCGCTAATGCTGGTTTCCTGAAGCTACGTGTATAAGAGGAAAACGTTTTCTGAAATTATCAACGCTCAAAGCGGATTCTATGTCTGATGCCATGCCTGACTAGTATAACACTTGGCCGCTGTTGACTGATCGAGTAGCCATTCGCCGGAGCTTCCGGAAGTCAACTAATTTGGTAAGGTGAGCAATCGCTGCCTTACTGGTAGCGATATCTATTTCTTGCGATTTCCTTGGCCATAGCGTAGTCGGTCCACATTGGTTTGTTGTACATGGATTTTTAGAACAACCCACTGGTCGTTCACCTGAACCGACTGGTTAGCTGGAAAGTTCGGACTTTAGCATCCAGTCTAATAGTAATTGCATCGTAAAATGTCTGTTGCTTCTCCGGTAGACTTTGTAGTGCTGCTGTGATGTGCTTTGGAGGACAGTTCTGCCGTCTGGCACCAAGGTGAAGTCTAATCCTGGCTCACATCTGTACCTCTTGTGTTCTCAGAATCCGCACTTCTGTAAGATCTACAAATTTTCACTGATGAGGCCCATCGTGCGCGCACAGAGATAAGGTCTATCTGGGAGGTTGGACGACCGTTGTTCGAAAGACACTAGTGGGTGTTTCTCGGGGTGTTGAAAAATGGTAGTGGTGAGAACGAGGAGGCGAGGTTCACGAGTCCCCTTTGTAGCAGTGACTCAATCCAAACTGGTAAAATATACGGCGCGTGTTGTCGTCTCGTTCGACTGCTCAAACGTTCCACTCACCCACTACTATCAAGTCTCGCCTTGAAGTCTTGTTGATCACCTGCAATCACCTGTAGAGTTTTTCTTTTAAGGTCGGGTTGGATGCAAAAGTTAGGGCGTAAACAGACATTATAGTCAAGTTTGGGAGCTATCGCACATCTTAATGATAACATATTTCAGGCTATAAATGCGTTGCCAGCGCTCCCACTTACGGCAATCGCTTTAGCCAATTTCAAAACAGACCGTGATGTTTTCGAAAAAGTTTGGTAACAATCGGTAGATTTATTGCTGGGCAACGTTTCGCCTTTGACACAAAAGCTTCGTCAGGCCAGGTGACTAGGTTCCGAGGTTGGTCGAGATTTAAGGCGGAAGGGAAACCAATCAGCTAAGTCAAGCTAAATCTCTGTTGGGTGTCGGTCGAGGGATTTTAGTGTGTTAGAGTGGTTGAACAAGTGTTGGGTCGGTGGGGAAACCTACATGTGTTTGGGTCCAGTCTAGGGTCTAGTTCTTCTGGTTCGGTTCATTTGATGGTTCCTCTTGAACTTCGTTTGAACCTTTTGTCAATCTGTGTGGGTGAGCTAGTGCTAAGATAGCGTTTAAGAGGGATGCTGTGACCGTTGGTCGGTTGGGGTTTCTAACCCCACACCCCGGTTTTTTCCCAACGATCTTAAGTGGATTGACAACCACACCGTCACGTGTCAACTCGGCTTATCTAAGACCGCTTTTCATACGCTCGCTAGCTCCACACCCTCGATTCTATTCACGCTGTGATGCTTGGTAATTTCCATCGCCTCGGCTATCAGCCGCTGTGGTGTGAATCGCAGTCCCCGTCTTAAAACTTCCACATTCTCCAGATCTATTCTATGTCCCGTGTCTAAGGCATATACCGCCATCGCTGAGTCTTTGATCAGCGTTTGCTATTCTTCTGCATTTATTGTTGGTTTGTTAATCCTTCTTCTATGCTCACCAATTCTGGTGTGCAATCCCTTGGCAGTTTGTCCCATATAAAGCTTAGCGCAATCGTTGCAGTTAATTTTATACACACAGTCCCTAGTCCTTTCAACCGGCAGGGGGTCCTTAAATTGCACCAACCGTTATGTTGTTTAATTGAAGTGGCAAGAGAGCTTCAACAAATAGAGAAACATTAGGCTTGAAGTAAGAATTCCTTTGGTGATTCTTCAGTATGCATTAGAAGGAATAATCAATTGCTTGGGATTTCAATCAGAAAAAGCTATATGAGAAAGCGTTTCGATTATAGGGATTCCTGTTCAGAGAGTACAGTTCTGGCACTGAGCTGCCAACTGAAGGCCTTAACGACCAAATACAAAAATTTCATTAGAATAACTTACCGGTGTATATGCCGCATGAAGAACCGTAAAGTTTCATAATGTGCGGGAGGTAGAGTAGACAGCACAGAGGCGATTCCACTAAGGTTTTCACCATCCGTAAGGTTGTCCTCACCTGTAACGAAAATCGCCAAGTTTATCCGTGAGAGACTCAACGACCGCCCAAGTTTTGAAGTAGAACGATGAATCGGTGTGGATATGCAACTTGTACTTATCTCCATCAAAGCCCAAACTCTCTCACACTATCCGAAGCAAAATGAGTTATTGCTACGATCGGAAATGCTAAGTGAACAATAGCACATCCTCATTATTCCAAGTCTACATGGTCTCTCACGTGGGAAAAAGGTTGGCCACAGAATAAACTGAAGGGTGGCAGGCCAACAACCACAGACCAGCGACGTTATCAGAAACTGGCGGGAGCACGCATTAAATATGTTTGATGACTGTAACATCAATGACGTCGGACGCAAAGATCGGAAAATATGGTATCCTCGTGAAAAAACGCGGGTTCAAGCAGCGAACGAACCGGATAGCAGACGGGAGCAAATTTCTGGTGAATTTAACGGTGCAAAACTCACAGGCAAGAACTGCTATAGGATGAGTAATTATGAGGGACGGTATACTTAGGCATAGATAGATTCATTCTCGTTCTGCATCCCTCAGACTAAGTCCGTAGGAAAATTTTCTGGTTACTCAACCCGAACAGAGCAGACTAGGGAACTTTTGCTCAAAGGACCTGTTTTTGCATATCACACCAACCGTATTGCTACCGGCAACAATAGCTAGCTTCCAAATTCCGAATGCGTAAGAAGAAACGTCCAATCGACAACTTTTAATTGATTGAGAAACTCAACGCTGTGGGATCAAAGTGGACATATTAGGCGTTGCTTCTCTCGAGGCAAGATGTAGGAGAGAGTCGGCCGTACACAACATGCCTTTTGACGGAACGACCAAGATGAGATATGGTTCCACGAATGGTTTATACATGCACATGCGGATAAAAAGCAGACTCACGAACAATGTCCATCAATTTAGGGTAGGCGTCGAAAGTGATTAACGGGACCGGAAGTTGACGTAGGAATGATTTGATCAGACTTGTGATCACATTGACATCCGGGACGTGAGATGGGGATATTCGAGCAGATTCAGCATCTGCCATGAAAAGCACATAGAAGTAATGTTTGGTACGAGCAGCAAGCATGCCGAGGGTGGTAGGCGAAAAGCACAATCGGTGAATAAGTGCTGTGGATCTCAGACAAACAAACTACAGATAACACAGATAGGGATGAAAGGTCTGACGATTCACAAAAACGATTCAAAAACGATGACAGTACAGATGTTTGATTGCTGGAGGGACTCATCGGCAGTTTACAAACCGAAGTTAATAGCGACCGGTTTTCATCCAGGCTGTCCAGCTGAAATACCCCAGTTGTTTGTATTTTGACCTCCTTCACACTGCGTAACCGCTTAAATAGATATGCACGGTCATACAACAACGAAGTATAGATATTCGCTGTCGACGATGATGAAGCAGGGTGTATTTTATGATTCCAAATTGTACCGCTAAACAGAAAAACTAATTACAGCTTAATGTATCAAATGTCTCTGTAGTACGCTAGTTATGTGGCGTCCGGAGACTAACGAAAAAATGATGTTGCAAAACGCATGGTATGAATGCACGTTAGCAGCAGCACTGGTGCCTTTAGCACAACAGTCAGCCAAAAATAAGACAACCTAAAAACCAATTTTGGGAGTAGGACAGGCTAGCTAGATATTCCTCTTGGATGGGGTTTAAGAATGAGTGCGGTAAGTACAAATAAAGCGACACTTCTTCAGTCCATTAAGTGGATTGCTCCGGTGGAAATGACAGTCTGAACGACAAGCCACAGAAGAATCTGTCAATCCGACAGGATCGAGTTTCTAAATAAGTAAATCGAACGAATTTTGTATACCCAGTTTTCGCGACTGGGAGAAGAAAGGGGTTGGAGTATGCAGATGACCGGCATTCTAATATCCGTTCGTTCTCGTTCGCTGATAAAATAGAACCTGACAAAACTCCACACCGTTTTAACCATCGCATCTACTCCTTGACTGTTCAAATCCCCAACTATTAAGTGAACGTTTACTTGCTCATAAAGCAGAAAAATGGAGAATGAACCTGTGTACTTGTGTATTGCTTTTCAGCCGAATACCCGATTACTACGAGAATCTGGTTATTCACACAGGAAATCAGATATGCCTAAACATGAGAAGTTGATGATCCTACATTTCTCTGGAGAATTCATTTTAACCCGCGTTGTTAAGCACACTTACCGAAGCAACAGTGCTCGAAGACGCTTGGGGATTTTAATGTTCCTTCAGAATGAACAGGGAGGAAAGAGTCTAGAGCTCTAGTATGGATACCACGCGATACGACGAGGAAAGACAGTCAAAGATGTGGGCGCGCGAACTCAACTGCCTGGAGATAACTCGGCCATGAATGGCTATTGACGATGATTCGCTCACAAGATCGTCGCTGTGTCTTCCGGAGGGTAGATGATAAATCAATGAAGCTTGGGAAGTTCGGACTTGGACAACACCAAGTTCTGTGGTGGAAAATGGCGCTTTAGCGAACCAGTAGTGAAGACGGCTGGGAGTCAGTGAAAATACTGAATAGCTCATGAACAGAATATCCAGTTGAGAAGGCCATAAACGCTCCAAGCAAGGTTTTTAAGCGCACTCAGACACATCGAAAGATAGTATTTCAGGGATTTGAAGAACTTAACAAGACGGACCGCTCGTCGTAACCACCAGTATTTTGCGCATCAGTCTACAATCGCACGATCCACAACACTATCCTACTCTTTAGATCTCCTGAACACTCGAGGAACTGTTTTCAAAGGAGAGTTGTCGGTGCAACCGAGCGAAAATAAAATAACTCGGTTTCGAAAGCTAAAAAATCACGGATACTGAGGTCCCACATACCTTTATCAAATGCTGCACGAAGCTGCTCAATACGATCATGATTTCCCGGAACACGGTAAAGGCCTTCACAAACCAGGGCGCCTCGAGTCTCTACTTCACCCACACATCGCTCCAGCAAAATTGGAATAGTTCTAAAAGGGGTTGAAGAAAATGAAGAAGTAAGTAGATATACACAAAATCAACGATGGGAAAATAAATTACTCGTTAGAATAGGGACACACAACTGACACCATCGTTTTTCAGTCAAGGTACGAACCTATCCAGCTTGTATCTAACATTTCGATACGCACGGAAAAACTGAGTGGGTGAATGGAAAATAAGTACAACACTTTAAATGCGTATTAACGTTCATGAAATTGAAGTTTGTAAGTAACCTGTCGGAAAAACGCTGCCCCCACAAATCCGTACGCAGTTCGGTATGGTTTGTTAGCCGAGGACCCGGCATTTGGGTGCAGTCGTCCTGGATATTGCAAGCTACATTTGTCCGCATTGGTGCTTGCGACTATTCCGGACAGAAAACAAGAATGTCTGTTTGCTAACATCAACACCTAGGCGCTGAACCGCGCACTGTCTTTCGCTTACGTTTAACACTATATGTACATACTTAAGGTTACCTGATTGCAGGAAATGAAAATTCTGAAGCGCTTTCGGCGGAGTGACAAGCTGATCGGAAGATGGAAATTAACGGGACATCCAAAACTGGATATCTTCGGGGTGGGTGTGAGGGGTTATACGCTCTACCGAGGGAGTCGGAATCTTATAACTTTCATATGAACTCACGAAGTGGATGAAACGAACAAAGGAACACTATGGCCCTATTAAGCGAATGAAATAAAGCAATTAAAGTGATGAACGACGCAGGGTAATAATACTGATTGTCTCCTAGGCTACATTCGAACTCTGGTATTCTACGATGTTGCTTAGGATGTGAAAGAATGAAGCCTCTACCGAAATGTCTGTTAAGAAGAAATCCACCACTTTTCACAGAATAAGCTATTTGAAACCGAATGAAGAG